AGAGGTGTCTATTACCATGTTAAGCAAGTGCGGAAGGCAGTTCTTACCAAATATTACAAAGACACAAAATGCAAAAACTTAGATAAAGAAAATTTTCCTACGTTGCTCAAACAGGTGTATGAGAGCGGTAAGTGTTTTACACGTTTGCACGCTATTGCTGGTTTTGAATATACTGGGCTATTTCCACTTAACAAAAACAAAATCAATCAACAGGCATTAGCTATCTCCGAAACTTTCAATCAACCGACATCTTCAACACCATTGCAAACAATAAAGTCTTTAGCTTTATCTTCTGAACCAGCAACAGCAGCTTTGAGGTTCGACAAGCACAGAGCACTACATGAGAGAATGAAAATTGAAATGGAAAATGAGCTAAAGAGTTTTTTTCAAGAAAAAATTAGTCTCATGTAAAAAAATCGAGGCAACCTAATACTCCAAAAATTGCTGGCCAACGTATTACAGAACATAGTGTTGCATATCATCTCAAAAAAAGAGAAGAAGTTAAGCAACTCAAATTAGCTGAAAAACAAGCTAGAAAGCGTAAAACCATCTGCAAACTCATAATGTCATTGCCAAACCCTGCAGAAAAAGAAGTAACTAAAAATATAGAACCGATTACAACACCTTCAGCCAAAAGAAGAAAAGTTATTAAGTGCAGAGAGTGTAAAAAAGAATTACATTCGGACATGATATCATACGAGAATCCAAATTGCAATACTTGGTTCTGCAACAAAACATCTTTGCGAAAAAAATTTGTAATAGGTTCAGATTTTTTTTGTTGTAAAAATTGTAAACTTTAAATCTTTTATTATTTCTGTATGCTATATAAAAAATATATAGCATATTTATGTATGCTATATAAAAATATATAAAAATATATGCATTTACAAATATAAAATGTTAAATTTATTAAATGTATTTTTATTTATCGGTTTTAACAGACTCTGCCAAAAGCAATCATATTTTTTTCTTCTAGTTTTCATATTTTCAAATACAATGAAAAATAAAAATAAAAAAATTAATGAATATTGTGCTTGTTGGTATTTTCTATCTTATTTAAAATAATAGTTTAAAAATTAAAAAAAAAAAAAAGTTACTTGATTTTTATTGTTCGGTGATCGGTTTGACGCACTTTTACTCTACTAATTCCGCAAAAGTTATAAGTTGAAAAAGGTTTTAAAGAGATTTTTTATAAGATTTTATTACACGTGTAACACAATTTTTATTCTTAGCCTTAAGTGTTATATTTCAATTGCTTATGTCTAAAGAATGTGAAAAAATGACTTCCTTAAGCACAAACTTTGTTTAAACAACAACAGCATTAAGAAAACTAGTTGTTTTATAAAATTAGAACAATTTTTTTATTTCCGTCATTATGATCAGGTAAAAACAAAAATTGCACAAGAAATAGATAAACACAGTCAAAAACCACTCAACAAAGTGTGCGGCCGTGGTGCAGTGGTTACAGCGCTTGCTTTATAAGCAAGCGCTGTAACCACTGTATAATATGGACATATTTTCGCAAATATGGACATATTTTCGCGTCACGGTAAGGAAGGAGGCGTGAACTTCCTGGTCAAATGCACTTCCGCGGTGCTCTGTGACAAGACCGTTAGGTCTTTTTGGGGCACCTAAATAACTGGAAAAAAAAAAGGTTCAGAAATGTTTAGAATTAAATGTTTAGTTCCCCACCATGTTTCTTCAACAATGTTACCTGGAATAGACCGGCAACATTGTTGAAGAGCCCTTCATGCTGACTCTGATCCGTGACTTGTACGCTACCATCAACCAAGTTCCATTGTTTTAGTCTGGATATCAGAAGCTCAGCATTAAATTTTGTAAGCCCCAGGTCCCTTATTAAATTGTTCACGTCTTTCTGGTTAGGGAAGTACGGCTTTCTATCCCCAACTACATCTGCTGAATTGTAGTCGATACCTCCAGTATTTGCCTCACTATCTGACTTGCTGCTGTCTTCTAAAGATAGCCAATGCTGCCTAGGACGAGTCGGAACAGTCAGATTAAGGCTGTTTGGTACTGGGGAGATGGATGAAGGAACGATTTGAAGGACAATTTGCCGGAACGACGTTTTTTTGGGTTTATCATGCAGAAGTAGCTGTTGTTTGATTGGTCCCTCGGCTCTAACCAAATTTGCAGGATACAAAGCTTTAGGGCTCGCTTCTCTTCTCTTTACCAACCTGTAACATAGCACAAAATAATACATAAGAACTATAATAATTTGAGGACAGGAAATTTCAAAATATGGAACGATTCCAAGATGGAAAGTATTTGCCTACAGTTCCCGACTTGAGACAAATCTTTGTAAATTACAACTCCTTGAAATTAACTAGATTTGATGCATTGAAATTTAATGAAAATAAATTAAAACACATCTAAACGAGGAGCAACTGTTCCATTTGCCTTCGAGTGTTTTCTCGCAATATTTGCATGTAAAATACGCATACATAGCAGAATGAATCAGTTGAATGCAAACAACCTTTTGATGCCATATCGTATAATAACTTCTCATCAACTACAAATCTTTATCTTTTCAATCTGCAACAACGCGATTTAGAATCTTGGTTCAAGACACGTGTGCTATGGTCAAGACACGTGTGCTATGGTCAAGACACGTGTGCTATGGTCAAGACACGTGTGCTATGGTCAAGACACGTGTGCTATGGCCAAGACACGTGTGCTATGGTCAAGACACGTGTGCTTTCATACTTGTACAGCTACTTTTAAAACGTTCATAAAAGTTCTGATAGTTTATCGAATTTCCGGAGGTTTCATGAACGTTCTAAAGTTCTGAGAGTTTATCGAATTTCCGGAGGTTTCATGAACGTTCTAAAGTTCTGAGAGTTTATCGAATTTCCGGAGGTTTCATGAACCTTCTAAAGTTCTGAGAGTTTATCGAATTTCCGGAGGTTTCATGAACGTTCTAAAGTTCTGAGAGTTTATCGAATTTCTGGAGGTTTCATAAACGTTCTAAAGTGTTTAGGAAAATTTAAGAAACAACTGGACAACTCTAGCAGTCCTGGAATATTATAGGAAGAAGCTCGGCATTGAAAGCAAATTAAGAATTTTCTCAAAAACACGCGATTTTCCAAATTTCTTTGTCCCGATTGCAGAAACAAAGTTTTTCTGGAATAACAGCAGTTTTATTGATGTTCTAGACCTAACGAGTTAGGAAAAAGCACATTTTCAACCCAGGAACAGAACAAAAGTGAAAATTTGTTACATTGTGTTATTGGAATAATAATGGAAGTTGATAAGTGCTATGTCACTGCTCCATTATTAAAGATAATATACTGAATCTCCAACGCCTATTTTCCAAAATCTCTTATATTAATATAAATGTATCTGGTATTTAATAAAAAATTAACCATAATAGTATGATTGCACGGAATATTGTTACAACAATATAGTATTCAGTCGTGTATAAAATAATAGTTAATCTTGTTTACACGTATTTTTTGTTTAAATGAAAAAGTTAAATTTATGTAAACTTTTATACTATGTTTTTATGACGCGTGCAATTTCACACAATGGTCTACAAGATTTTTGTGCTTAATGTAACAAACTTACACTCGTTATTCTAACGACTTACAGTTGTTATTCTAACGACTGTAAGTTTGTTACATTAGGCACAACTGCCCCGTTTTTATCATGTAAGTTATAACTTTTTAAAAAGAACTTTATAGTTTCAAAATGATAAGCTAAAGCAGGTAAATTATAATTTGGTATCGATGTTACGTACAGATCGTGAAACTGTGCATTATACAAAGTGTGTAATTTTATGCTTATATTTTAATTGGATAGCACGGATTATAAAATGTTAATTTTTTGTTGCTGCTTTTTAAATAGCTACATTTATTATACAACATGTAAAATGCTGCGGGTTAGAAAGTGGCAATTTATCATTCATAAGCTGTGTTGCAGTTGTATAATATTTGGTTTGAGCTTTCTCTTTTACAAATGGCGGACTATATTTATAAACAAAAAAAAAAAAACGGTTCCAATAAAATCCCGCAAGTTAGATATCTAGTTTATATAACATATCATTGACTTTAGTGACATAGGCAAAAAATCTTCCGCCGCTACTTTCGTGTTTATTGAAATTTTAAGCTGTTACTGTTAAGGGAGTTACTGAAAGTGAAGCTCCTAAATGACCTTTACTTATCTTAAAAATAGTAGAATATACCTGTGAAATTATCAAAACAAATGAAAAAAAAAGTTTGTTGAACCTAAAAGGCTATTTTCATAGTCACAATTTTTTAAAACATTAAAATTGACTTAAATAAGGAATTACGCAGTAGATACATTGACTAACTATATATATTTATATATACCCAAAATATATATAAAAAAATTATAAACATAAATTTTATTTAAACATATAAATAAATATAAATGTAATAAAAAAAAATTAGTAATGAAATATTTTTTAAATTAATAAATATAAATATTATTTATTAGGCAGAATATATATTTAAAATAAACAACAATAAAATTCAATATTTCGCAATCTGATCAATATCGCCATCACGAAATCAGTCAAAGATTGCGATATTTCGTGAAATGCGCAATTTCACGATCTGTGCGTAACACCAAAATGATGTTTAAAACGCCTAGGTCAACAGAACTATCAGAAATAATTATTTAGTATCAAGAATAAGTTCAAAATGTACAGGGTCATCCAAATTACAATAAAAGATTTATTTGTTTGTATAATATGGTCCCTTCATGAAAATATGTAACTTTTTTGACGAAGTATACGTAGCCTATATATACATACGCTTACGTATACCGTATACGTAATTTAAAAAAAATATATATGAAAAAATTATTTATAGTTATTAACTAAACTCAAAAATGTCAATATATTTTGAAAAATTTAAATAATGTTTAAAATAAAATAAATATATTCAAATGTTGTACATAAAGTAAATATAAAAAAACAGTGTGTGTGTTTGCCTGTTGTATTGTCTAATTACACTCACCTTCTAGAGGGGCATTCCAACAACCAATTGTAAATATAAAAGCTATATAAAATCTTGGTTGACCCATTATGCGCCATCATGCGGTAGTTTTGTAACTTTTAAATGTTTTACTGTTTTTAAGAACATTGGCTAAATACTAATAGATTAAGAAAAATATTCAAATTGCGAAACAAGTATTATTAAACGAAACATTATAAAAAAAAACAAAAAAAAAACTAATATATATTTATATAACTGTTCAAAAATGAACAACTGAACATGTAATAAGCCATATTTAAAGAAAAATGTTCAATTGAAACATTGATTTTAACTAGGATAAATTAGCAATAAAAATATCAACAAAAAAGTATTGAGACATTTGAAAACTGAAAATGTTATTCTCAAAATAATCTAAAAATCACAGTTGTAACAACAGTGTAAAAAATTGAAAAAAAAAATTCTTAGTTTTCAGTTCCAAATACCTTAATGTGGATTTAATAGAAGTATTTTCAGTTATAGCAACAAATCAACGTCAGTATCGTCACATAAGTTGAACATTAAAAACCTTTAAACAATAATTTTAAAATTTCATATTCGCGTCATTTTCGAAATAAAAAAATCCTTGTTAATTTGAGCGCATATCCTATTTAAACATCAAAACTAAAGCGTTAAAAGCAGGTGAAACTGACGTTATTGTTATTAAGTTTTATATTTGTTATATTTATTTAGCATTTAAATTATAAACTGCTTAAACTGATTAAATTCGATCATCTTTTGAAATAACACATACGAAACGGAGATTTTGTATTAGAGATTATCAAATACAGTTTAAAAATCTTTTTAAATATAAAATTAGAGCATAAGTTGATTAAAAATATTTTTAAATATAAAATTAGAGCGTAAGTTGATTAAAATTTTTTTGAAAATTACTTAACACTACAGGTGTGTCTCCTCATGTACTTTTACAATAAACTTATTTGCTTTTTTTCAACATATTCCTTCTTAACAAAGATGTTATTGTTTTTTTTATATGGACAATTGGTAAAAAAAAAAAAAAAAAGAAAAAGAAAAAAAAAGGAGCAAAGTATACGAAAATGAACAAATCTTATTTTATCAGGTTCATTAAAAAAAATGTCTCAGTTTTAACATAATATCCAAAAAGTTGGAAAATATTAGTTATTTTATTGTCTAATTTTTTTATTGTACAATGCCATTTTAAAGTGGTTTATACATTAGTTATATATATATATATATATATATATATATATATATATATATATATATATATATATATATATATATATATATATATATATATATATATATATATATATATATATATATATATATATATATATATATATATATATATATATATATATATATATACTAATAATGATGTAACTAATGATTAATCCAAAAGATTTTATTTTCTAAAGCAGAACACCTCAAAAAACGCAACAGAGCACTTTAAAATACATTTATATTATCACCACAAATAGTATTGCGTACTAAGGTTAGCAATCTAACGTCATACTGAAATAGCCTGCTGCTGGGGGCTTCAGTAAATACATCGACTGACAAATAGCCTGACTCGCAGTGAAGTGCTGCTATATCGACTGAGGGTTTGGGATGGGGTAGCAATTGTTTTATTCATCATTCTTCCTTTTTTTTTCTTTTTTTTCTGAAAAAGCCGCATAGATAAAGGTAAGCAAAAAAAGTGAGCAAGTGCTTAAAAAAATACGCTTTAGTAAGTGTATACAGAATTAAATATAAATAATCATAAATTTAAATAAATCAATTTTCTGTGATTTCATTCATTTTAATTAGAGAAAAAAATGTTGTTACAGTTTTTACAAATACTTGCAATTAATATTTTTTTTTATAAAACAGATTAAATTGCTCATACGTAACAAGGTGTCTTCATCATGGAATGATTCCCCGGAGAATAAGTAACATTGATATTTATACAATATTATTTTACCAAATGCACACGTAGAGTCTGCAAGCATTTAAGTAAGCTATCATTTGATATCTATTGTCTTAATTGTAATAATTGATACATTGTATGTTAGTTACTCAGCGGTATATCAAAGGATAACATTTGCTATCAATTAAATATTATTAGATATATTATTTGATAAAACGCAGAATTTTGGAGTTTTATAATTGAGGAAAACCATCAAATAAATTCCTAGATTCGATAAGATTTTTTAGAGGGAAAAGAACAATGAAGACAAACAAATAGAAATAATATCACAAAAGGCAACAATTTGCTTTAAAATTTGTTTTTTACAAAAGAAATGCTTTGGAGTAAAAGTAACATTTGATTCTAATGTTTACCTTATTTGCTTTTTTTTTCAACATAATATGAAAATCAAGGATTATCGTTGTCATGTTTGCTATTTTTAATAAATAAAAATTAAAAAAACTGTATCCAACATTGAGTCATGGAAATTTCTATTATAATTAGTTTTGCCGCTATCATTTGAATAACGCATGTTTACCTTGCGGAACTAGTTTTCGCGTAACAAAAGTGAAATACATATTTTTAACTTAATATGAGACTTATTGGTATATAAATAAGAACTGTACGTAAAATCAAAGTAGACAGCAAAACGTTTGTATGGTCTAAATTTTAATTTATTTCTAATTTTTTTTATAATATGCGACCATAAAGTTCATAAAATTTTTGTAAAATATGGAAAATTTTATGCAAAATTTATTTTACAGTTTTATAAAATTACTTATAATTTAATTTACAGCATGGCATTCTATAGTAATCCATATTTACAAAAACATGCTTTGGTACATCACGGCAATGGAACTTGGAACAAAATTAAACTTTGAGAAAAAGGTATTAAAGCAAACAGAAGAAAGTCCAAAATTGTGACAAAGAGTAAGGATTCACGTTTATTGACTTCTTTTTATTTACTTTATTTGATATTTTTGCTTTTATTTTTTATTTTTTCATTAAATAAAAAAATGGAGAAATCCCAGTGGGCACAGTTGGTTATTTTGAACGTTCTTCGTCGTTATTATTAAGTTTATACCTAATAAAAACATCCAAAAAGTTTTTAAAAAACGCAACATGTGCCCACTGGGAAACTGTATAATTAAATTTCTAGCTAAAAATTTCATAATCATGACAATGATAGTTTTAATATAAAACTTTCAAAATTCAATGCTATACAGTTTTTGAATATTAAATTGAAATTCAATACTATACATTTTTGAATCTTCTCTATTAGGGTGGAGCAATTTTCATCAAATAAGATTTCATCATTTTTTTATTTATTTGTTATTTAGTTGCCTCAAGCTCGTTTTGAACCTGGATCTCCTGCTGATAAAGCAAGCACTGTAACAACTACCGCACAGACCGTGGTGCAGTGGTTACAGCGCTTTTTTTATCAGCAGGAGAGAATGGTTACAGCGTTTTCATAAAAATAAAATGTTTAAAATTACATATTCTTGAGACGCGAATGGTGGGGTGGTGGGGACGGTTTGCCCCGGGCAGCATTATTTTGAGGGGCGGCAAATTTACTTAAAAAAATGTCAAAACTTATCTGTTTCGAATCTCTACCTGAATACCACTACACAGTATTTGTTTTATTAAAATTTTTGTTTTAAAAACCATTATTTTTGAAGAAGGATTGAACATATAATAATATGATATCAAATCATAAACTTTAAAATTATTTTTACCAGAGAATAGGGATCAATTAGTTAATAACGTCGTTGTTTATCCAAAAGAAATTTATGATAATCTAGGCACAATCATGAATCATCGATTTAAAAAAAATAAGCAGATAGCAGGGGAAAAATCACACGATGTTGCATCGTTATATGAAAAAAAGATGAGAAGAGAAATTTTTTTCCTATGACAGAGTAATCCGAGCAATCTTTTTGAGATTTATAGAAAAATACGCCATTTGTACTCCATCAAATCTTTTGAACGACAGGCTACGAATTTTATTTTAAAGGTCAAGATTATGATGACATCAATAAAGGAGAGTTCCTCCTTGAAAGAAAAAGAATTAAAAGTTTTATTTTTGTTGCCACATCACAAAATAAAGCAACAACATTGATGGTTAATGGTCCACTTTTGCAGTTTATTCTTAATTACAGTGTTGAAAACATATTTTCTAATATAGTTATATTGCTACGAATTTTTTCTTACAATTTCTGTTAGTGTGGCTAGTTGTGAGGAAAGTCTTTCGAAACTAAAACTAATTAAAAATTACCTTAGAAACCTAGCCATACCATTCAACAGAAACTGAGTAATATGACTTTAAAAGCCTTATCAATAACTTTTCTGACAGAAAAGCAAAAAAATAAACCTTTACAATGTTGTAACAAAATTTTTTGCAATTAAAAATCTAATTATGCCCGAAATAATCTTTTTGATAAATGCAATTGTTGTTCTTATTATGAAGGTTTGGGATAAGGGAATGGGGATTGGGGCGGGCGGCGAAAACAAGATTCTGCTGCGGGCAGCATAAACTCTAGCTACCCCACTGGGTATCCTATTAGCTATTACAGAAATGGAAACAAGTATTTTTAGATTTAAATGAGTTCTTGAGGTCAGGGTTATTTATCGAGGTTATTTATCGAACAAAAAACATTTAATGGATCCTAATATTTGTGAAATTTTTTGAACTTTGTGCTGATTTTAAAAATATTATTTATTTTCATTCAAAATTAAAACTTAAAAAATTTTTTTCTTTTAAAATCTTCTTTTTCTACATAATTTGCAAAGATGCAACATTTTTAGGTAGGGGAGAGTGGGGAGAAATGGGACACGTAATTTTTTTTTTCGGGTAACTGCAATATCTTTTTTATTTAACGTATAAACCTAACCAAACAAGTTTTTACGAATAAATCTTTCTTTCTGGCACCGATTCAATCTCCTTAGGTTTCCAGCCAATTATAACAGGGATATAAATTTTTGCTTTTAGAGAAACCATGCCATTGGGGTAAAGTGTGACAAGTGTGAGTAGAAGTGGGACAAATAAATTTAAAACAATATTTTAACACAAACTATTAAATAAAAACTGATAAAATCATAAAATCACATAATCGAAATAAAAAATTTTCAAGAGCTTTCACCAATTGAAATAATCAAATGGCGATGGGAAGAAGCGGGGTATAAGTATTTCTTTAGTTTAATAATTATTCACTTCCCCAAAGCCGAGAACGCCACTACAGTCAAGGAAGCTACTTTTGTGGTTACAACTCTCTCTCAACTCTATAACTCTGAAACACAAACTTCAACAAATAAGGCCGCTATGGAGAGAAACAAGTTGAGCGCGGTACCAGGGACGTGGTAGGGATCAAGTTAAAGCATGATATAAAAATTATTTTTCTTACAAAAGTTTGGTGTGGAATAAATGCACAATAAAAACTAACTTATTACACAACTTTTCAACAACCACATAATTTTGGTGCTGGTTGAGAGGTGATAATATTTTTTGTTTTATCCACAACACAATTAACTACATTTTAAAATAACTATCTTTGGGTAAATAAAATAGATAGAGAGTCAATTTTCATTTAGTCGTCGATCTAAGCATTGACTTAAAAGCAAGCTTTAGATAACAATTTTAGAAACTTTATAAACACTCAATCAAAAAACTTTATAAACACTTTATAAAGTTTTTTGATTCCTGCATCAAATATTTCAATTAGAAAGTAACTAACAACTCTTCTACACAACTTAATTATATAACAACTTCCAATTAGCTGACTTTACATACATAATAATCAATACTGATTTTTTTAGACCATTTCCCAACTTTCTGAAATAATATTAAAACAACAATTAACACTACTCATTCTATATCTTTTATAGTTAATATAAATAACATATCTACTATATCTAATATAAATTTTATATCTATTATATTTAATTTAAACAATATATCGACTATATTTTTAAACAATTTCGAAATCTTTTAAGAAAGAATCTTGATTAGAAACTGGTACTGCAATCACATGTTGAAAACGTATATGATTTTTTTTTTTTTTTTTTTTTAATTTTAATTCACCTCCTCAAGGCCGAGAAGGCCACTACAGACAAGGAGGCTACTTATTTGTGGTTATAACCCTCTCTAAACTCTATAACTCCGAAACACGAACCTTGACGAGCAAGGCCGCTGCGCGGAGAAACGAGTTGAGCGCGGTACTACCAGGGACGTGGTGGGGATCGAATCTTAGTCAACTGCAAGCAACATGAAAAAGTATTTCCTAGATGGTAAAAAAAAGTTTAAAAACCAAAACAGTTTTAAACCCATGAAGGCCTAATGGGTTACTAAAATTCTTGAAAAGAAAACAATAATATATGATGCATACTTAAAAAAATAGAAACTATTTATAAAAATGAAACAATATTTAAAAATAAAAAATATATATTCGCAAAAATAAAAAGTTACTCAATAAGGGTATCAGTAAAGAGTATTAGAACAAAAATAACGGAGTTACTAAAAAACAAGTATATAAAAAAATAATTGCAAAAAATATTTATACTAGAAACACTCTGCCCAAAATAACTAAATAATACGGAAAAAACAATTTATGCTGAAAAACTAAACGATGCTTTTTATTATTGTTGATCTAAAGTTGGCATCAAGAATTCCTTTGAACTTAAAGCCATATAAATCTTGTTAAAAAAATAACGATGAAACTATGCATCAAATATTAAGACAAGCAAAGTGCTGGTTATAACAAGGGATGTACTGGAATTCCAGCCGGCGTTTAAGAATTTAAGGTCATTCCGGTTCCGGCCGGAGTTAAAATTTTTCTAGCCGGAATGCCGGATTTTATTTTTTACCTTTTCTTTCAAGACATGTGACACACTGTGTAAATTAAATCCAAAAATCTTTGTCCTACAGGGCAATTAAGAAATATAGGTAATATATGTAATTTTATTTGAAATAATAAACTATGTAAGGATTTTTAGATGTTTAGGAAAGTTATGGTGCAAAAAGAGTTGCTATCAAGTTTTGGGCAACAAACTAATTCTTCTTTTATCAAAAATGTTACATGCCTTAAAGAATAGTATAGTCTCATTTTAAATGTTACTTAGATTTTAAACAATTAAAAAGTATAGGATGCCTAATATAGCAAATATTTCAACTTTAACCTAAATGAAAAAATAGAAAAAAAAGAAATAATTTTAAATATAAATATTACGCAGGTTAAAACTTTCAATAAATAAAATTATAAGAAACAGATAAAAACAACATGTTAGATTTAAATGAAACAAGAACCAACCAAAATAAGTTATATATATATATATATATATATATATATATATATATATATATATATATATATATATATATATATATATATATATATATATATATATATATATATATATATATATATATATATATATATATATATATATATATATATATATATATATACATACATACAATGCGGTACAAATTTATAACCTCACCAAAAATTCAAGATCTCACAAATAATTAAATAAATATTTTTAAATTATTCAATTGCCTCATATCTTGCTTGATTGATATTTCATTTGTAATAGAGTTTCATTTTGTTAATTAATTGAAACACAGTTTCATTTTGTTAATTGATTTGAAAATTTTAGAAAAATGATGGCGCAAAATTATAACCCATATTAATTTTACTCTACAAAATTCCATAATGTTTTGTATTGCGACTTGAATTTATTATTAATACTTTGTTTTATTGCTGCCATTTTGAACAACTTCAAATATTCGATTTGACATACTTTCCAATAGTTTTTTAAGAACTGCAAGAGATATGTTTTTCCAAATGTGAACAATTACTTTTTTTAATTCATCGACATTCGAATATTGTTTTCTTTCTGCATAAACACGTCTTGCTAAGATGCCCCATAAGTTTTCAATGGGAATTAAATCAGGTAATAGCGTTTTTCATTCTAATAATTGAATTTTCTTGCTGGTAAACCATGAGATATTTGACTTTGCTCTATGAATTGGAGCATTATTTTGCTGAAAAATAAAATTGATGTTACCAAATTTTTGCAAAATATCATTCAAATGACCATTCAACAAATTTATATATCCTTCAGCATTTAATATGGTAGTAATAAAGCCAATCAAAGCTTTTCAAAAATAACTGAACGTACCCCAAATCATTACTTTTCCGCCTTCCATAGCCCTTCTTTTAGAAAATGTTTTCTCTTTTTAATGTCATACCAGTAGTAATTAAAGCCATCTGAACCATCAAGACTGAATTTTTTTTCAAGAGACCACACAATTTTTTGCCATTCTTTTTCTCAAGTCATGTAGTCCTTGGCCCATTGAAGACAAATGCGTTTGTGCGCTTCAGTTAGAGCTGGAGATGTGCGTTTTTTTGCATATCTAAAAAAGCCTGACTTGTTAATTACACGATTCACCGTCCATCTTGAATATTTCAATTTAAAATCAGCGCCAATTTGTCTCGCGGAGATTGTACGGTTACTTGCGGTTTGCACAATTCGTCGCTGTTGGCGAGCTGTAAGTATAGATTTTCTACCACATCGATGCTTCGTGCAATAAATTGTTGGATCATGTACGAATTTATTAATCAAACGTTGTGAGCGTCTCAGTTTGCAAGCGTTGGTCCTATTTGATAAACGTAATGACCTGTAGGCTTCAATCTTATCTTTTTCTTCATCGGAGAGCGTAATTCCTCTTGGCATTTTGTTAGAATGTATTTTATAATTTTAAATGTAATAAATTTAATTTGAAAACATAATTTACTGCTATTTTTGATGCTTTTGATTCAATTTAGATAACGAGGTTATAATTATGCACCACGGTTTTAAACAGTTTTATAAATTGAGTCAATTAAAGTATAAATAGATGGATGTAAATTATTTTGTTTATTTCAAAAAATGATCTACAAATAGATTTTGATGTATATATATATATATATATATATATATATATATATATATATATATATATATATATATATATATATATATATATATATATATATATATATATATATATATCTTAAGTCCATTTTTGGCAAAATTGACTTTTTTTTTTTTTAAATACTCCTTAGGTGCACGAAAGTCATCTCACAAAGTATGGAATCAAAAATGATTCAACTTTTGAAACTATGAGTAAAATTCAAATACCTTATGTCCTTAAAAAAATAATTAAGAGACATCGTTGCTGCACAGCCAAACTATCTTAAGTCCATTTTTTGGCAGAAAAAAAAAAAACTTTTTTGGTTTAAAATACTTAACACATATAATAAATAACTGAAAATAAGTAGATTTAAAAATAGTAGTATTTAAAAAAATCAGAAGCAGTGATTAAATTTAAAACTTTAAATGTCTTTTTCTCAGAACAGTAAAACGGACTTAAGATTGTCTTGTCTTGCAACGACAATTTAATTTGTAGAATTGACATATTTTATATAGCTTTAAGACTATCTTAAGTCCATTTGGATTGTTGCTTCTTATAAACTTAAAATTTTATTTTTTATATTTTGAAAAATAATAACATATTCTATAAGTATTTAAAAAAAAATTTAGTTTAATGAAGAAGATCAAACACAGTGATGAACTAAAATATGCGTTTTTCTCAAAACAGCAATATTGGACTCAAGATAGTCTTGTTTTTCAGCGATGATATATTCTGTAACCACTATGCTTTAGGTGTAGGCTTTCACTTTCAATTTTGTAAGTAAAAAATTTTATTTCAACCCTCTTCACCACCTTCCCACCTCCCCCATGCATTTTGCTATACGCTTTTTTGAGTACGCCTCACCTCCCTAAAAGTACCTACGTTTTTAACCTACCTACCAAACATTTTATAATTTTTTTTAATTTAGTGTTTTCTTATTTTTATAATTGACCCCTTGTCCCCCATATCATATATGCCATTTGCAGATTCTTTTTATCCGAGAGTACCTACCTTATGGACAATGCCTAAGTATAATCTATAATTCTAAGTATAATAAATAATCTAAGTATAATAAATAATCTATCTGAAGAAAACATAAATATTTTTCAAGAAACTCAAATCAACTTAATTAACACACCGTATATTGATCCTTTTGATTTTATAGTAAAAACAGATAATGGTTCATACTATGCTTTTCTAATAATAATTATGAAAGTCTTTTCATTGAAATTGTTAATAAAAAATACCGAAACGTTTTAGTTGGATGTGTTTATCGTCCACCGAGTGGAAAAATAAAAACCTTTGAAACTTTTATCAAAAATACGATTATAAAAATAAACAAAGAAAATAAAACATTTTATATTACTGGTGACATAAATCTTGATGCTCTTTCTAACACAAAATTTCCAAAAATAAATTCTTTTTTTGATATGCTTTTTAAATTTAATGTCTTGTTAACTATTAATAAACCAACGCGAGTAACAAAAACCTCGGCAACAACAATATACAATATTTTTATTAATAATTATTTAGAAACGACATTTGAAGCCGGTATATTTATGACAGATATTAGTGATCATTTCCCGGTTTTCATAAAAACAAAAAATCTAAAAGCTATGACTGATTGTCATTCAAAAATCATACATTTAAAAAAGTGAAATATAAAAATGAGTAACACTAATAAATTAACAATTAGACTAAAACAAGAAACATGGAACAACGTATATAAATGTCAAGATACGAATGGAGCATACAATGCTTTTTTAAGTACATTTTTGGAGTACTTTAATGAAACCTGTCCTCAAGAGATAATAAGAATTAAGTCAAAAGCTCCGGCCATTCCGTGAATGGATAAATCGTTATTAAAGTGCTCAAAAAAAAAAAAGCAGAAACTTTACAATAAATTTCTGAAAAAGAAAAACAATGATAATGAAAAAAATTACAAAAATTGTAAATATTTTTACCAAGATCTCATGAAAAATGCAAAAAAAAAAATAAATATTACAGTAATCAAATTAATAAATGCAAATTTGATTGCAAAAAAACATGGTCCATCATCAATGTCATAATGGGAAGAGAAAAACTAAATTCACCTTCTCTACCTAAACGAATTGTTATTGAAAACAACGATATATTTAGTCAAAAACAACTTTTGGAAGAATTCAATAAATATTTTACAAGTATTGGTCCAAATCTTGTAATAAAAATAGTACCAACATCTGTATCATTTAAAACCTTCCTTAAACCAACGAATAATGTTATCATACTTGATTATGAATTAACCTATGAGGAATTTGAGGCAGCTTTTTCCTCGTTAAAAAAAAAAAGGCTCCAGGATTTGATGAGATATCTAGTAATATTGTTATTGCAAACAAACACAGTCTTAAAAGACCTCTAATACATATACTAAACCTTTCGTTAAGTTCTGGAATATTTCCGGAAGTACTTAAATTAGCAAAAGTAACTCCATTGTACAAATGTAATGATGATTCTGACATTACTCTCTTTAAAAAAAGGTGTCTATCCTGAGAAACTTAAAATTGCAAGGGTTATACCTATTTTTAAATCAGGAGATATTTCTAATTCTGAAAATTACAGACCAATTTCAATTCTCCCTTGCTTCTCAAAAATCTTAGAGCGAATTATGTATAATCAAATTTTGAATTTTTTAAATACAAATAATATTTTATATAATAAACAATTTGGATTTCAGCCAGGTAATTCAACTGACCATGCCATTAATAATATTGTTCATGATATATTTAAAGCATTTGACAAGAAAAAGTTTACTCTTGGAGTTTTTATAGATCTTAGCAAAGCTTTTGATACAGTAGACCATAATATTCTTATAAAAAAACTCGAAAGTTATGGTATTAAAAGCACATATTTAGATTGGTTCATAAGTTATCTAAACAATAGAAAACAATACATATCATACGAAGAAGGAAAATCTTCCTATATGACAATAAATTGCGGTGTTCCCCAAGGTTCAATTCTGGGTCCTCTTTTATTTCTTATTTATGTAAACAATTTTCATAAGTTTTCAAACATTTAAACTCTGTTTTATTCGCAGATGACACGAATTTATTTTACTCTAATGGAGATATTAAACTTTTATTTAAAATAGTAAACAAAGAACTTTTAAATCTAGCGGAATGGTTCAAGGCGAACAAGTTGTCCTTAAATTTAAATAAAACTAAGTATACTTTTTTTTATAGAGTTCACGATAAAGAAAACATACCACTAAAACTTCCTAATCTTTATATTGGCAACTCTAAAATAATTAGAGAGTCATCAATAAAATTTTTAGGAGTGATACTTGATGAAAACTTAACATGGAGAGAACACATAAGTACAATAGAAAATAAAGTTTCAAAAAATATTGGTATACTATTCAAAGCCAAGCAGTTTTTAAACCAAAACTGCCTAAAAATTTTATATTTCTCCCTCATACATTGTTATATAAACTATGCAAACATTGCCTGGTGCAGCTCTAATATAAGTAAAATTAAAAAACTGCTTAGTAAACAAAAACATGCTGTCAGAATTATTTCAAATGCAGGTCGATTCACACATACTAAGAACTATTTAATAATCTCCACCTACTCAATGTTTTTCAGTTAAACCTTTATCAAATTCTTATTTTTATGTACAAACTTCATAATAAAATATCACCTATAATATTTAGTACACTTTTCAATAAAATTAATCACATGTACCCTACAAGATTTTCTAAGTACAATTATGAGCAACCTAAGCTATAAGAGGTCCTAAATTATGGAATGCTTTATTAAGTGACGAACTGAAAAATTGTTCTTTTCTTTACCTATTCAAAAAAAATTGAAACAAAAACTTATTAACGATGTTAATGAATTAAATTCTTTTTAAAAATTTTTTCTTTTTCTTTTTTCTTTATTTTTAACAATTATCTTATTAACTCTATAAACTATCCTATTAGCTTATCTGTAGTTTTGATTTTTTTTTTTAATTTCTTTTTACTATTTTCTTTTGATTATAGATTAGTAACTAGTCTTAACATACTTGTAAATAATTGTATATAATTTTTTAAATGGCACAAAGTAATTGTATATTTAACTTTTAATGGTTGTACACGCTTGCTTATGAAAGCACGTCGGGGTGTAGTGATAAGGTAAGTATTGTCTTCTTTTAACCCCGGTCATGTAGATCTTATTTATACTACACGGCATTGTATTCTTTTTTTTTACTGACGAAATAAATAAATAAAAAAAATAATAAAAAGAAAAAAAAATTACCAACTACAGGCCTATATCAGTACTTTCTGTATTTTCAAAACTATTCGAACGTGTAGTTTATAATAGAATCTATGATTACTTCATTAAAAACATTTTTTTTACCCAAATCAGTTTGGTTTTCAAAAAAATCTCTCTTCTGAGCATGCAATCATTGAAATAGTAAATCAAATAACTAATGGTTTTGAAAATAATAAGTTTACTTTAGGAGTATTTCTTGATTTATCAAAAGCATTTGATACAGTGCACCACTGTATTCTCTTAGATAAATTAAGACATTACGGAATAATTAATAAAACTTATTATTGGATTAAAAGCTATCTTACAAATAGAAAACAATATGTAAATAATTCCCAATCTGGAGTGTTAAATGTCATATGTGGAGTTCCGCAAGGATCGATTCTTGGTCCACTTCTTTTTTTAATATATATAAATGACTTCTGTAATGCATCCTTAAAACTTAATTCAGTCATGTTTGCAGATGACACGAATTTATTTCTTACCAACAACGATATCTAGAAATTATATGCGGACATGAACATTGAACTAAATAAAGTAAGTAACTGGTTTAAGGCTAACAAATTCTCACTTAATGCCGAGAAAACAAACTATATACTTTTTTATAAAAAAACACAAGAAGAAAATCTTCCTCTCAAGTTGCCGAACCTATTTATTAATTAAAAAGCAATCCAATATAAGATTCTTGGAATCGTTGTTGATGAAAAACTATCCTGGCTTCCTCATATAATATATATCCAGTCAAAAATTACCAAAATCATGGGTTTAATGTATCGAGTTCGCTCGTACATCAATACAAATAGTCTTAAATTAATTACTTTGGGCTAATTCACAGCCTCATCAACTATGCAAACATTTCATGGGCAAGTACTCAAACAGCAAAACTTAATAAACTTTAAAGCTTTCAGAAACACGCCTGTAGAATCTTTTACTTTAAAAATATGCGGGAACACGCTAATCCCTTGATGAAAGATATGAAAATGATGAATGTATTTGAAATAAATATCTACCAGCATTTAATTTTCACGTATCGCTACAATCACAATATCTCTCCTATAAGCTTTAATAATAAGTTTGGGTTAAATAAAAATGATAACTATAATCTTAGAGCGAATATGTTGAACACATATAAACTGCCTAGGATAATAAATAAATATTCAGAATA